CATGGGTTGCCATAAAACCAACAGATCTGTGATGGAAGAAGTGCAACCAGAATGCTCCTTGATGGCCATGATGGCCAAACTTCGTCTCTTGTATTTCAGACATATTGTCAGGTGAGACCAGTTGCTGGAGAAGGACATCATGTTTGGTAAGGTGGAGGGTCAGTAAAAAAGTGGAAGACCCCAACAAGATGGATTGGCCAAGTGGAAGCATCGATCACCTCTAGCGCAGCAATAGTAGTGAGGTTGGCCCAGGATAAGGCAGTGTTTCCTTCTGCTGTGCATAAAGTCATTATGAGTTGGTACCAACTCGATGGCGCCTAACAACAACAACCTAAAATACCTACACTATACTTGACAGGAAATAGAGTAAGGTCAGCTTAGGACTGACTCAAAAGTTTACCTCTCAGATAAGAACACTCCTTTAAAATTAAGTAAACAGTGTCCAAACTAAAGATACAAACAAGAGTTTCTGGGAAGTCATCAACAGTTGCTTTAACTTTCTCATACTGTTCTGTTTAGACCAAAAGTCCTTAAAATTTGTGTGACAGAGTCCAATTACTCAGGTTCATTTTTCTTTATAAAGGATACAATTTGCGTTAGTTTTTGTGTTTACATGTATGTGTTTGTGTGTGTGTGTATCTTCAAAATAATGTCTAGAAACAGTCTAGAAACCAATTAACAAGAAAAAAGCTGTATCAACTGTAAAATAATGGAGAAAGGAAATTAACAGACAATTCCCAAAGTGGCAAACACTAAGATATAACTACTATGTGAAAAGTGTTCACTAATTATAAAGAAAAGAAATGCAAAACAAAGCAAACAGTGGCCCAAATTCTGTGTGTCAGATTTTCAAACATTCTAAAATTCACATTTTCCAATGTGGTGAAGGGATTCTTTTACTTCTTGAAGGGCTTTAAGCTGGCATAGCTCCTGAGTCATTTGATAATATGCATCACAAGTCTAAACATGCTCATAAAATCTGTCAAAGTGATTCTACATTTAGAGATTTGGTTCAAGTTCATGTAAAGACAACTGGCAGTGTTCATTTCAGTATGAGAAAGAGTAGCAAAAGAGAAGAAACTCATAAATGTCGAGTAACAGGGGATTCATTAGATCAAACTGGGTGGGTACATATGCAATGGAATTCAGTGTTTGGCAGAATGTTTATGATAGAATGTTTAAGATCTGGGGAATGATCACAATATAAATTTAGTGCAAAAAAGGAAGATACAAGTTATACTGATTTTTTAAAGTTGATGATTCTATAAGACCCAAAGGTCTCCAAAATGGCTGGTTGGTGAGATTATAGATAATTTTTTCATCCATCATTATTTTTTCATTTTATAATTTATATAATAAGTTCTTATTATTTCAACATTCAGAATATATATGTTATATATTCTGTATATACACAGTTTTAAAGCTTAAGTAAATGTGACAGAACAAAATGAAAATCCTTAAACCGACCTTCCTAAAAATGAACTTATTGAAAAGAAAAATAATAAAACCAGGGCAGGGGAGCAAAAGTGATTATAATTTATTAAACCCTTAATGTGTTTCAGGACTTCTACTGTGGCTCTGTGAATCAGCAGAGGACTGTGAACCACAAGGTTGGTAGTTCAAACTTACCAGCTGCTCCTTGGAAACCCTATACAATGTTGCTATGAGTCAGAACTGACTCGATGGCACTTAACAATACAACAGTGTGTTTCAAGAAATCCCTAAATGGTTAGTGCACAACTACAACCAAAAAGTTGGCAGTCCAAACCTACCCTTGTAGTTGCTGTTGTTAAATGCTGTGGTGTCGATCTGGACTCAGCAACACTGTACAGAGCATCCGAGAAGCAGCTAATGGGTTTGAACTGCCAACTTTGTGGTTAGCAGTCCAGTGCTTATCATGCAGTGCCACACCAAGACTTCCCTGCAATGGGTTTGAACTGCCAACTTTGTGGTTAGCAGTCCAGTGCTTATCATGAAGTGCCACACCAAGACTTCCGTGCCCATAGGTACCTAGGAAGAAAGGTCTGGTGATCCACTTCCAAAAGGTCACATCCTTGGAAACTATGGAACATAGTTCTACCCTGATATATATGTGGCACTGTAGGATATGCACTGGACTGTGGACCACAAGGTCAGTGGTTCAAATGCACCAGCTCCTCCTCAGAAACCCTGTACAGGGTTGTTATGGGTCTGAATCAACTTGACATCACTGAACAACAACAACATGAGTATACTATGTTTGGCAGCAATTAATTTTTGGTTTTCAAATGTGGCTGAGATACTAAGCTACACTTTCCATGTGTATTAGCCCATTACAATAAACCTATGAAGAGATTTAGCTCCGACAGGCCAAGTAGGTTACATGAGGTCACACTATTTGTATGTTTAAGACCAAAAGGTTCCACAGTCATGAGATTCTCTTTTTGAAATTGTATTTCTTCTACCAAGTCTGAAATTCAAAGCATTACCTTGTACAATAATGTTCTGTTGATTCGGTTTTTAAAGTAATCATTTTCACACTGTATCTTCAAATACTTTTTAACTTCCACCACTTTGCTTGTTACTCGTTTTTCAGTAAAACACTTGTGATTATTTCTTTTGATAACATTTAGGTTCCATTCCCGAGTTTCATTTCTATGAAACAAAGATGTAAAGGTATTTTATAATGACAACAAAGTGTTTGGAAATACCACATATCTTTTCCTTCTTAACCAATTCAATCTGTTTTTTAAAACTATAATTTCTGTATAAAGAGACTCATTAATACTATTCCCAAACTCTGCTATTGTCTCCTCTCAGTTCACAGCCATCGTTAATGATGGTATGCAGGTGGTGGTGGACAAATAAAACCAAAAAACAACACCTGAGAATTCTAAGCACATGCCTATACACACTACTGAGGACCATATATTTGCATGTCAGAATGTTGTTGCTACTAAGTGCCTTTGAGTCAGTTCCAACTCATAGTGATCCTGTATAGGGTCTCTGAGGAGCAACTGGTGGTCTTGACCCACTGACCTTGGAGTTCGAGGTTCAGTGCTGATCCTACAGCGCCACACCAAGAGTCCTTTAGGATAGCAAATATTGAAAACTTAAAGGATCTTTGGTGATGGATAAATTTAGAGTTTGTTAACCTAGGAAGGGAGGCTGGCATTGTTTCATGAAGTCTGTAAGTAAATTCCTGGAATTGTTTTTGAATTTGTGTGTCCCTACATTAAGTTGTCTGTAGCTCAGACAGTTTATTTCAATTCCCTTCTTTTACTCTTGAGTGCCCTCTACTTCATGGTATTCACAATTTAAATGTCTTACCGAGCAGAAGCTCATCTGAATAGATTTTATAATAGTTGTTCCTTCTGAGGATGAATCTGTTATGCAAAGGGGAAAAATTAAGAGATACCTTCTTGCAATCTAAAGTGTGCTCGAATTACACATGTGATAGATACATAGATAAGAACACACATGAAGTTGCCCTGTCTGTCTCACACATGTTGGCCTGTCTTAAGTGCTTCCACTTCCCCTTGAAATCTATAATAGCATGGAAGTAAGTCAATACCAGCATTCATTGAGCTCCAGGTGTTGTATTACTGATGTGCAATTAAGAAAGATAATTTGACTTCCTTATGTTCAGACGAGAAAGTTAAATCTCAGAGAGGTTAAGTAACTGTCCAAGGTCACACATCTGGTAAGTGATATGACCAAGGTGTGAGTCTACATGTCTTTGGCCCTAAAGGCCAGATATCACAGACAGCATTGCACTTCAAGAAAGATCTTGAACTTTTTGACAATGAATGTCAGTTACTCTTCAATTTGTCATTCGTGGCATAGTTAATCATGTTATTGTCTGTTCAGAATAGCCCATACCAGCCCATTTTGGCTCACTCACACTTAGAATGGAGTCCTGGTGTGGCGCTGATGGTTAATGTGCTGGACTGCAAAGTCAGTTTGAACCGCTGGGTCAGCGATCCAAGCTCACCAGCTGCTCCTCATATACAGGGTCACTATGGGTCAGAACCAACTCAACAACACTTAACAACAACAACAATGCCTAGAAAATTGATAGTTATGTGTTCCATTTCATTTGGGACAACTTTCGATATTCCTAGATTCATACTTTACACATTTCAGGCTCTGATTATGATATGTTTGCAACTGTTTCTCCTCATTTTGAGTAGAGTACCATCAGCAAGTGAAGGTCTTGAAAGCATTATTCCATTCAAGTCATTTTAGTCAACTCTCCTCTGAGGAGGCAGCTTTTCTAAGGTTGTTTTTTAAGGGCCTTACCTTCTAACACTGTATCTAACAATGTTTTGCTACTGCTCATAAGGTTTTCAGTGATAGTCAAATTCAAAATGGCCAAGAGCAATCCATTTCAGCTCACTAATGCCTAGGATGGGCTCCTTGTGTGGTGCTGCAGGATAAAGCACTGGACCACAAGGTCAGTTTGAACCACAAGTTTGGTAGCTTAAACTCACCAACTGCTCTTTGGAAACCCTATACAGAATCGCTATGAGTCAGAACTGACTCAACTGCACTTAACAACAACAATGCCTAGGATATCAATGTTCCATTTCATTGTTGACAATTTCCAATTTTCCTAGATTCATGCTTCATACATTCCATATTCCAATTATTAATGGATATTTGTAGCTGTTTCTCCTCATTTGGAGTGGTACCCCATTAGCAAATGAAAGTCCTTAAGTTTTATTCCATTAAAGTCATTATAGGCAACTCTACTTTGAGGAGGCAGCTGAAGAGTGCCTGTCGTATTTTGAGCACCTTCCAACTCTAAGGATCCCCTATATCTGACAATGATCCACTACTATTCATAAGGTTTTCAGTGACTAAACTTTCAGAAGCAGTCCACCTCTTCGGCTTCCTAGTCTTAGTCTGGAGGCTCCACTGAAACCTGTCCATCATGGTTAACCCTGCTGTAATTTAGAATACCGGTGGCATAGCTTCCAGCATCACAGTAACATGAAAGTCACCACAGTATGATGAATTGAAAGACAAGTGGTCAATTTTTCCTATAGACTTTTTCAATAATGCAACCTGAGGCTTGAATTTTTCCTTCAATTCTTTCAGCTTGAGAAATGCTGAGCATGTTCTTCCCTTTTGGTTTTCTAATTCCAGGTCACTGCACGTTTCATTAAAATTAAGGTAGGCTGTCGAAAAGTTAAAAGCAGTGGATCCATGGTCATGGAATAGAGTAGAGTGACTTGACTGTTGGAAGAGACTCAGAATCTTATTAATAGTTTGCATTTATCAAGTGTGTTTGTAAAATTCCTCCAACTTCAGCCTCACTGAGCTGAACAGGAATACATTTCCATATTTCTGTCATATTACTTACAAAGAATAAAGTACATGTATAAGGGTTTCCAAGGCAGAAACCTTTATGGGAGTAGATCACCATGTTTTCTCTCTCTTTAGAGTCATTGATGTGTTCAAATTGCTGACCTTGGTTAGCAGCCAAGAGCTCAACCATTGTACCTCTATGGCTCCTGTTGTCATTAAGTGTCACGGAGTCAGTTCCAACTCATAGAGATCCTATAAAGGGTTTCCAAGGAGCAGCAGGTGGGTTTGAACAACTGACCTTGTGATGAATAGTCCAGTGCTTATCCTACAGCACCACACAAGGCTCGCTCCCTGGTCAGGATTAAAACCAAAATGCCAAATCTGTTGCCAAGGAGTCAATTTTGACTCACAGCGACCCTACAGGACTGACTAGGACAGTGCCGTGGAATTCCCAGTGTTGTAATCTGTGTGGACTTCTGGGGCCACAGTGGTTAAGCAAAGGGTGGTAGTTCAAACTTCCCAGCTATTCCATGTGAGGACGATGCGACAGCTTCACAACTACCGTGGGGTAGTTCTACACTGTCCTTTTGGGCCACTGGGAGTTGGCATTGGCTTGATGGCAATAGGTTTAGTTTGGAGGGTTGACTTTTTCTAGAAACAGACTGCCACATCTTTCTCCTGCCAAAAGGCTGGTGGGTTCAAACCAATGACTTTTGGTTAACAACTGAGCGCATAACCACTGTGCAACTTGGCTCCTTTTGTCAAGATTGTTGTTGTCACATGCCTTCGAGTTGGTTCTGACTCATAGTGAATCTATATAGGATTTCCAACTGCCATCTTTGACGTTCAAACTGGCCTTGTGGTCCAGTGTATTATCCCACAGTGCCCCACCAGGACTCAAGATAAATACCCCCAAAAACCCCATTGCCATTGGGTTGATTCTGACTCATAGTTAAACAGAGTAGAACTTCCTCAAAGGGTTTCAAATGTTGCAATCTGGACAGAAGCTGACTGCCATATCTTTCACCCTGGAGTGGCTAGTGGGTTCCAACTGCTGACCTTTAGGTTAACAGTCGAGTACTTAACCTCTGTGCCACCAGGCCTCTTCTTAGGATGAGAGAGGGTGTATTATTTGTTTTTCTTTTTTCTCAACCCCATTTGTAAGAACACTCATTCATCCTTAGGTTGGTGTGTAGGAACACATTTATGATCCGTTTTCTGGAGTCATCTTCCTTAAGGGTCGCATAAAATACATTGTTTTGTTTGGTATTTTAAATGATTTAATTTCTCCTGATTCCTGGGAGTTCCTGTATACAACAACAAGCCCAATTGGCCTAATATTGTACAAAACCACAAGAGTAATAGCAAAGCTCTTCTCTCAGGTGTGATGTCGATTGTAATCAGGACTGATTGTCTCCAGTGGTGCTACTCAGAGGAATCTAGTTCCATCGAAAAGTGCTCCATCACCACAGACGTGGCCTCGACTATTTTCTATAAGTCAGTTTCAAATCTTAATAAAAATGCATGGAGTCATACATACATATCCACACATACCTACATCATCATCCACCACAAGAGTCTTAAATAAACAGACCATCATGCATCTCACTAACAGTCAATGACATAGAAGATTCCTTTTTTTTGGCTACTCCTTCTGGTAGTGTAGTGGTTACGAATCGGGCTGCAAACCACAAGGTCAGCAGTTCAAAACTACCAGTTGTTCCGCAGGAGAAAGATGAGGCTTTCTGCTCCCATAAAGATTTACAGCCTCGGAAACCTTGTACTGGGTCGCTATGAGTCGGAACCGACTCCGCGGCACATAACCACCTTTCTCAACTCACCACATAATATAACTGTAACCACAGTCAGTCATCATCACTGACTCACTGCATAGGACTCATGACTCTTGGTTATGACCATCCTGAGGAATCTAGGGCAACGTCATGAGTTGGCAATGCAAACTGCCTTCAGTACCCTCCTCTCACAAAACCACTCACTGTGTGGTTGTGACTGGCTGCCAGACACACAGTTCCTTCACTAACACTGCCACCCTGATTCCCAGCAAACCCCAGAAACTCCCTTTTCAGCTTAAGGATACCACCCAGGGAGCTAACACTGTTTCCACTTCATTACATCGTAATAACATTATACAATACTGGCTCTTTATTTCATAGGACACGTTGATCTGCACAGCAGCAGCAGTAAAGATTTCAGATGACTCTTAGTCCATCTTCAGCTATTATTTGTGCAAGACTCCTCTGAAAGAAAAATCCCATTATAATAATCTCCTCTCATTAAGACCATTAATAAACACAAAAGGGCTATTTAATTTAATAGTTAATAATAAAACACTTTAAGAGTCCTGGTGTGGCACTGCAGGATAATGCGCTGGACCAAAAGGTCAGTTTGAACCACAAGGTTGGCAGTTCAAACCCACCAGCTGCTCCTTTGAAAATCTGTACAAGGTCACTATGGGTCGGAACCAACTCGAAAGCACTTAATAACAACAATAAAATACTTTACTGGACTGCAAGATTCATTTGAACCACAAAGTCTGTGGTTTATAAGCTCACCATCCACTCCTTGTAAACTCTATATCAGGTTGCTATGAGTCAGACCCACTCAATGGAATTTAACAACAACAATAGAAAAAGTGGTGGTGGTGGTGGGCCACTGAGTTGGTTCCGACTCACAGCGACCCTGTATAGGGTATCTGAGGCTGCAAATCTTTACAGGAGCAGAAAGCCTCATCTTTCTCTCTCAGAACAACTGGTAGATTTGAACTGCTAACTGTGCGGTTAGCAGCCCAGCTCATGATCCATCCAGTACGCTTCCAGAGCTCCTTTATAGAGTATTGCAGCTGTTAAGTGCAGTGGAGTTAGCTCTGACTCTTGGGATCCTGTATAGGATTTCCAAGGAGTGGCTGGGGAGTTTGAACCGTCGACCTTGGGATTCAAACTGATCTTGGGGTCCAGGGCTTATCCTACAGAGCCACACCAAGACTTCGTAGAAAGAGTAGAGGCTAAAAACAGAAGCAAATTATGCATTATCTGGCCTTTCTATATATTTAATTTGCTGCATAGAGGCCTTGTATTATGAAATAAAGAAAATAGACAAAGAAGTACTCACCCCATTTTGAAAATGTAACGTCCACTGTCATTGAATTCAACTGGCCAAAATTCCAAAACGTAATCATGAAAAGCGAACCTGGGTGAATTTTTTGGGCTTAGCTCAATCCGTCCAAGTGACGTGTTGTATTTGAACCATCTTATGGTGTCTTTTTCATTCTCATGCTTAGATGGAGTTGAGCAATGTTTCAAATAGAAAGGCTCACCAGTCAGTGCAGTAATGTGGTTGCGTAACACACAAGTTGCTTCAAAAGATTAGCAAAGTAAAAGAAAAAAGAAAAACAGAATGACAAAGCTGTTTTGTCTTTATTTTTTTTCCTTCTCTTTTCTAGTGCATGAGGGTGAAAGCAGGGCTAGAAACAAAATCCTGCGAAATCTCAGTGTCACATTTCCTGTGAGTTTCCTTCTTTTTAGGGGTACCTTTCCAGTACTAGAAGGCCAAACGGATAAAGTGCTTTCAGAGCACAGATAAAGACAAAACTTCCCACAGTTTCTCCCAAAACAGACCAAGTGCCAGGCTTTGACCTACAATAACTGCAGGACAGAAAAGTGGCCTTTCAAAAGAAGAAAAGTATTACTGTATACTTTTTTTTTATTATTACTTTTGTATTATAGTTTCTTCATACTGGAAGTTACAGTGCAAGCCAATGTTGTCATACCTGCCCCCAAACACCTCAGCTGAGGAGAGTCTCTACAGAAAGGAAAGCAAGAAAACTGGAGACCTTGGAGTTCTTCATGAGAATCTTACTCTCAAACTGTCTACCTATTCCTACCTGTTGTTGTTGTTGTTGTTGTGTGCCATGGAGTCGGTTCCGACTCGTAGCGACCCTGTACAGGGTTTCCGAGGCTGTAAATCTTTACGGGAGCAGAAAGCCTCATCTTTCTCCCACAGAACAGCTGCTAGTTTCGAACTGCTGACCTTGCGGTTCACAGCTCGATTTGTAACCACTACGCTACCAGAGTTCCTTTATTCCTACCTAGGCAGGTGTATAAGTTGGAGTAGCGTGAAAACAGGTGTTTGGAGGGCATATTTAAGTTAGTCATTGTTGTAAGTTACCAAGTGGATAACTAAGAATTAATATAATATCATCCCAATCTCCAGTTATCTGTCACCTTCCCTGTCTGAGCTAGAGCTATGTCCTCTTTTCTCCCTCAACAAACCCATATACTCTGGCTTTGAACATTTATCTGATCCTTTCAGCTACAGAAGTGAGCATCCATGCCCCTACTTGACTTTTGGTGGCTCCCGGGTATCTTTTAACCACTTTTTGAGGATGAGATTCCTGAAATTAAGTAGAGCGCTTCCCAGGGATCATGAAGAGAAATGCCTTCTTTCTAGATAGGGTTTACTTCTCCAAGCAACAGTCTTACTTTTTAGCTTAATGTTGTTAACCACAAAGTGAAGAGGAAGTGGCTGAAATGGTACAAACATTCTTTGACAATATCTATGTCAAATCTACCTCAAAGCATCAGAGTAACTACCTCATGCTTAGTGGTTGTTATGGAATCTTTAATTTGCATTTCAGTGTTTCAACAAAGAAGGTGTGATGCACACATATATCTTTCTGTTCCTTTTAGTTGACACCCAAAGTAGTGACAGGTCATTAAAAGTTTATTTTTGTGTTTTCGAGATATAATATACATATAAGTAGGTGCATCTTTTGTAACTGGAATCAGTCATACATCACTCTGCCTGTGAGAGTCATCTATGTGGCTGCATATAGCAGTGATTTATTTTGGTTTTCACTACTGTACAATATCCTAAGGAGCTCTGGTAGCATAGAGGTTACAAGTCAGGCTGTTAACCTCAAGGTCAGCAGTTCAAAACTACCAGCTGTTTCATGGGAGAAAGATGAGGAGTTCTGCTCCTGTAAAGATTTACAGCCTCAGGGTAGCTATGAGTTGGAACCAACTCCATGGCACACAACTACCATACAACATCATATCCAGTTTTGTTACTATTTGACCATTGATTTGTTATTCCTCAGTAATTAATTGACAACTTACTTATTTCCAGGTTTTGGACAATATGATAAAAACTGCTATAAATACTAGTACCTGTGTTTGGATGGACATTTGCAGTGGTTGTTCTTTGGGGGTTGTTACCATTTGAAGCAACGACTATGGAATACATGCTTTCCAGGGGTTAAGGGTTGGCAGTTGAAAGCCCATACTCCCCAGGCAGCAAATGGCTTCCGATAGCTTCTGTTTAACACTAGAGGTTTTGTTGACTAACAAAATGCTTATTAGAAATCATTTTCCATTAGGAATGAGTGGGGCTCAAGATATACAAATAGCCAGAAATAGGAATTTCTATTCTTGCATAAGCAGGGTATAACAACACAGAAAGGACAATGACCTATGCCCTTTGAAATGAGGTCTGTGTTTGGAAATGGTTTGAGTTTGGCCAACTGTACGATGTTTGCACCCAACTCGAAGTGAAATTAATGTTGTTATATCTTCCTAGAGTGAACTGTTTAAGAATGCTGGTCTCTAAGCACCTAAAAAGTTAGGAAATTGAGACCTTAGCAATCTTAGCAACAGGCTGTGTCAATACTTTTGTGCCTGAAACACATTTTCATTGGGGAATGGCAACAACGTTTTTAGTGTGTATCTGTAAAACAGGAAATCCCTGACATATATTTTTGCACCTTGCTTTTTCACTCAGCCACTTCTGACAGTTCATTTGATATATTAGGAAGAACAGATTTCATCTGGATCTCAACAGTATATAGATCCACTTAAGTATACATTCTCCAAGATTGGACTAATAGTGTGGAACTCTAGGATCAACAGTAGACTGTGAACCATGAGGTCAGCAGTTCAAACCTACCAGCTGCTCCTCAGAAACCCCATACAGGGTTGCTATGAGTCAGAACTGAATTGATGACACTTAACACCAACTAATAGCTTGACTGCTATTTCTTTAGCAGTAATTCTCAAAGCCCGGGGATAGGGATTCATGTGATGTTATTGTTAGTTGCCATCAAGTCAGGTAAGGCTCATGACAAACTCATATGTTCAGAGTAGAACTGACCCACAGGATTTTCAAGACTGTGACTGGTTGAAACCAGATCACCAGACCTGTCTTCTGAGCTATAAGTCAAACATTTCATCATTTGTGCCACCTAGTGACAGCTTTCTAAGGAGCTCTGGTAGCGTAGTGGTTACGAATCGGGCTGCGAACCTTAGGGTCAGCGGTTCGAAACTACCAGCCGCTCCGCGGGAGAAAGATGAGGCTTTCTACTCCCATAAAGATTTACACCCTCGGAAACCCTGTACAGGGTCGCTATGGGTCGGACCCGACTCGATGGCACTTAACAACAACATGTGACAGCTTTCTAGATGTTGTTGCTGTTGTTATGTGTGATCAAGTCAGTTCCAACTCATGGCAAACTTGTATAGGATTTCCAAGGAGTGGCTGTTGGGTTTGAACCATCAGCCTTGTGGCTAGCAGTACAATGCTGATCCTACAGCACCACACCCTACATCAAGGCAAATTAACATTTATGCTCAGCTTCCTCACCAAAACCTAAATAAATTGGTAAACCATGTTATCAATCATGGGACTCTTTTCCAAAATATCTGATATGACCTTTTCCAGAAAAAGCTCCAAGCAGTGCATTTTCATTAAACTGATGCAATTTATTTCAGGGTACAAAATTTCACATCCCATTCTCAGTGAAGCTACGTGAGTCTTTTTATTTGGCCATACACATCTCCTACACATCTCATGCTCTCGTTCTCTAGCCAAGAACACGAAAGACTTAGCAAATTTTTGAAATATAATTTAAAACCATTCATTTTAATACGCTCAGCATCTTCTGTCCCTCATTTACTAGCCATCTCTATATAAAATAAAATAAAACAAAAACAACTTTGATATTCTCTGTAGACTACCAATGAAGTATGTTTGTGAGTAATTACAAGTACTTACCAGAGGTGTTAATAAATAAAAGTGTCAAAAGTGCCAAAGGTAGTTCTCTAGAATGCATGCTTAGGTTTCTTCTTCAAATGATTTGTCTGAAAAACAAATTAAAACAGATGTAGTCAAAGCTTTTAAGCAAAGCATATCTGTCCTATGAAGGAGGCTTCTAAAACTTATTGTGCACTGACTATTAAAAAATGGTCCAGGAGAATTCAGATCTCTCAGTACAGTCACTAATTCTCAAAACTTTCCGCTACATATATTTAATACTGCTTTCAGACAATGAATGCCAGCATTTTGAAGAAACCCCTCATAATCAAGAAAGCCTGATTGCTTTTAGGCCAACTCTGGTAGCGTAGTGGCTATGAATTGGGCTGTGAACCGCAAGGTCAGCAGTTTGAAACTACCAGCTGTTCCATTGGAGAAAGATGAGACTTTCTGCTCCTGTAAAGATTTACAGCCTCGGAAACCCTGTACAGGGTCACTGTGAGTTGAAACAGACTCCATGGCACTTAACAACAACAACATAAAATCTTGGCAACAAGGTCAAAGTTAAGGACAGTGATACTCCAAGGAAATCTACTACTTTACGAATAAATAGTTTTTTGACATAGGTATGCCAGTTCTGTTCTTGTAGTTATGTGTGTTTGTGTTTGTGTGCATGTGGGTCCCAATTGCACTTCTCTCTTTCCACACCCTTTTAAATGTCCATCACAATTCTGAATTAGGTTTTGATTTGTAGGTTGAATTTTTAAAAAATCATTTTAACTTTTTATTGTGAATGGAGTGAAGGTTTACAGAGCAGATTATTGGGGGTTTTTGTTTTGTTTTTAAGGTTTTTATTGTGGATTGAGTGAACGTTTACAGGGCATATCATCAGTTTTACATTCAACAAATCATATACCTTGTTTCATTACAATGATTATACTCCCCTCCATGTACCATCAATTAACAGTATTTCTTTCTATCCACTTTAGCTTTTTTTAAAAAAACAAAACAAAACAAAAACCCACTCTGGCATATATAATAATTTACATCTCCATAGGGCACATTCTGCAAGTCTGCTCCTGGCCACCAGCTCTTAGTCTCTCTCTTCTCAGCCCATGAATCTAGAGTCCTCAGCCACTCCCCTTCTCCATGCCCCTATCTCTAGCACCGCTGCTTCTCTGGATAAGGTTCCGCATTCTGCTTGTGCATTTCTCTCATGATGGTCCTAGGGTCCTCTGTTTCTGGACTACAAGATTAACCACTCCCCTTTTTTTGCTACAAAACTTCTACCTTTATAATTGTTACAGTCACGATTAGTCATGATAATTATTCACTATTGAATCTTACGAATCTTATCCCCATCTCTTTTCACCAGACCCATCTAGACAAGATGACAGCTATTAAGTGGGGACTCTCATTCCCCCCATACCTTAAACTAAACTCCCTCTTGAAACCTTGTAAGCCAGTCACTTTGTGCCTTTATTGTCCCCTCATTTTAGGTAGACAGTGTCTAAGTTGCCCATCCCTATCTGTCCTGTGTGAAGACTCTTTCCTGCTCTGTTGGTACTTAAAGTAACTACCACTCTGAGTATAGGTCAGGTTCATCATCAGTTCATCGGCTGTTCCAGTCTTCTTGTCCTTTCTAGTGGGAATGTCTCACCTCACAGGGTTGTGGATGGGACTCAGGATTCCACTTAAGGTCCTATACTCTGTAAAGGCTTTGCATGAGGCCTATTTCATTGGGCAAGTTGTAGAACCCCTTTGAGGTGTTCCAATCAGTTATAGGCTGAAGACGGCCTTACAAGTTTTCTCTGATCATGTTTCCCAACATTCCTTTCTATCCCACTCAAGTGTCTATTTTACAATAGTAGGTAAGGGAAACTAATATTCGTAAGGTAGTCAAGGATTTTAGTATTATTTATCCTCTTCAAGCTATACCTAGATCCCTAGATCCCAGAGCTCTGTTGTTCCAAGGTTGTATATGCATCACTATTTCCCTCTGTCTCACTAGACCATGCAAACCTGTCTCTGTGTTCCCCTAACTATCTTGTTCCTCTGCCTCCTCCCCCCTTCTTGTATTGCCCTCCCCAACATCCAAAGTAAACCCCCCACCCCAACCCCATTGTGGTTACCTTATATCCCATTAGTTCTAGCCTCCATTTAAGACAGTCTATTTTATCCAGTAATCTATCTGACCTTCCCACCACTGGGTGTCTGTTCCTCTGTGTTTACCTTCTTTCACATTGTAATTGTTTTGATCATAGACTGACCTCCCAGATCCTCTGTTCTTATCATTTTATTCTGTTCTTGATTCTTCCATTTGTCGATTAGGTTCAGGGTGCTGCTGCCACGTATGTCATTCTGTAGTTTTCTGTTCTTGTTGGTTCTCAGTCCACAGAACTTCCTTTAGGATGTTTTTCATGTTGGCTTTGGCAAAATCCCTTAGCTTCTGTTTGTCCTGAAATGTTTTGATTACATCATCATATTTGATTGACAGCTTTGCTGGGTAGAGGATTCTTGGGTGGCAGTTTTTTTCTTTCAGTGTTTTATATATGTTTCCCCATTGCCTTCTTGCCTGCAAGGTTTTTTGCTGAGAAATCCAAGCTTAATCTGATTTGCTTGCCTCTGTATGTTATATTTCTCTTTTCCCTCGCTACTTTCAAGATGCTGTCTTTATCTATGATTTTGGACAGCTTGATTATTATATGTCTTTGTGATTGTCTTTTAGGGTCTATCCATCCTAGGGTTCATTGAGCTTCTTGAATGCTTATCTTTTCACTTTTCAGGATGTTAGGAAAATTTTCTTCCAGAAGCTATTCAACTATCTCCTCTGTGGACTTGTGTGATTGTTCCTGTTCTGGAATGCCAATAATTCTTATGTTATTCCTCTTCATGTTGTCCAACATGAATCTTAAGCCTTCTTCAGATTTTTTATCCTTTTTTGTATTTGCTCTTCTATCTCAGTAGTGTTGAGAGATTTATCTTCTAGCTCACTAGTTCTGGTTTCTATCTCTTTAATTCTACTCCTTTGAGCCATGGTATTTTCAATAACCTCATATGGATGCGAAAGCTGGACAGTGAATAAGGAAGATTGTAGAAGAAGTGATGCGTTTGAGTTGTGGTGTTGGAGGACAATACTGAAAGTGCCATGGACTGCCAAAAGAACCAATAGATCTGTTTTGGAAGAAGTGCAGCCAGAGTGCTCCTTGGAGGCCAAGATGGCTAGGCTTTGTTTCTCATACTTTGGACACATTGTCCGGAGAGAACAGTTGCTAGAGAAGGGTATCATACTGGGTAAGGTGGAGGGTCAGAGTAAAAGAGGAAGACCCCCAACGAGGTGGATCAGCCAGGTGGCATCATTGATGGCGTCAAGTGTGGCGGCGGTAGTAAGGTTGGCCCAGGATCGGACATTGTTTTGTACTGCTGTGCATGGGGTCGCTATGAGTCGGTTCTGACTCAATGGCACCTGACAACAACAACAAGCCCTTTCAGTATATTGTCCGTTTCTGATATTCTATTATTAATCATTTGGACCTCTTTCTGTAGTTTTTGAATTGTTTCTAATGCTGTATCTATCTTTTGATTATTCCTGTAGCACTTTCCTGACTTCTTCCTTATTTTTCTCAACTCCATTGTATAGTGTTTTGATACATTTTATAATCATTTTTCTGAATTCCTTTTCTGGCATTTCCAAAGCCTGCCCATCTTCCAGTATGGAGTGTAGGTCTACTTCCAGCTCATTTGCCTCAGTCACTTTATCTCGTTTCTGGACATGTGCAGATATGGTCATCTGCTTCTGTTTTTTGAGCATATTCAGGGGTTATCTGCAGCCTTAATACTTAGACGGGTATGTATTTTGGTATTTTTATGCTTTCTGATTGCCTCCAGGTAGATTTGATCAGGAAATGGGCTTCCCTTTTCACTCTTCTTAAGAAATTTCAAGATGCCACTGTTGGTCGTTGTGATGTAACTTAGGATTTAATTCTCAGCCTATTTCCTTTTTTTTCTACTTGTCCTGCTCCACAATCCCCATTCAGGCCTTTTTTCTAGTTGAAACAGTTCTGGGTCGGCTGTGGCCGTTTGGCTTTAAGTGGAAACTGTCTCTTTAAATTTCGAGATCTGTGCGCATGAGTAGTAGAACCCTCCAAGGGTGGGGCTGGGGTGTCCACTAGCTCAGGCACCTGAATGGAGGTGCGCAGACAGCAAGGGACCAATGAACTGATACAAAAAAAAAGAATGTCCACATCTCTATCTCTGTCAGGTGTCCGTGGCTGCTCCGATCCTTCCCCTGCTTGGACCCACACAAGATGGTGGCTCCTGGAGCAGCTGAGCATCCTGAACCAGACAGCAATGGATTTCTTGCTTCTGCCACAAACTCCCCCAGCTGTAAGTCTTACAACCTTCTTTTATATGTATTCCTTTATATGTGGTTCAGAGTTCTGGGACCATCTCCTGAGCCTGCTTGGTCCTGTATTCTGTGTTGTTGCCGGCGTTGTTCCTCAGTGCACTTCCACCCGATCCGCCATCTTGTTTGTTCTCCCCAGATCATCGGTTTTACATTCAAGAAGCCCCCTCTATGTAACATCACTTCACCCACCTCCTCCCTGTGGTTCTTGCTTGCATTTCTCCTTCTTCTTCCACCCTTCTGAACTTTGTTCTTAGGTGAATGCTGCTGTTTTGATCCTGAATGACTAACTATCCTATGGTGTGCATACTTCTCTTGTGTTGTTGCCTCCCTTGAGATAACTATCGAAAGAGCTCTGGTAACTTAGTGGTTACAAGTCGGGCTGTTAACCTCAATGTCAGCAGTTCAAAACTGCCAGCTGTTCTGCAGGAGAAAGATGAGACTTTCTGCTGCGGTAAAGATTTACAGCCTCAGAAACCCTATACAGGGTCAGTATGAGTTGGAACCGACTACATGGCACACTACCACCATATACCTATCTATTGCTTGGCTGAACATTGAATCACTGGGATGAGAACAGTTCCGGACCTCAAGAATGACCAAAGGCCATAGTCTTGGGGTTCCACTAATTTCAATCTGATCAGTAATTCTAGTCCTTTTAATGATTATGAATT